GTTAAATGAGCATTACTGCGTTTCGGTTATGGAGGGTAAGGGTGCTGCTGGTGAAATTACGGGCACATGGGATTTGTCGACTTATGTCTCAAGGTGACGGGCGGTGCCCCTCAGATCGTTGCGATTTAAAGCTCAGAGGGGCACCGCAACTCCTACGCCTGTCCGCGTGTCGCTTACCATCAGGCGGACGACTTGTTTATGTCGTCACTTAATATCATAAAAAAAGTTAGGTATGAGCTGCCCTCATCGTCTTTTGTCCAAAAGAAAATTGGTCTTATATTGAATTTCTGTTAGTAACGTGCCTATCCATAACTGTTGCAAAAGATCTGAAGGGCACTGCTATCGCGCCCGTCACCTTGAGACATAAGTTGACAAGTCCCATGTCCCTGTAATTTCACCAACACCCTTAACCTTTAAAACCGAAACACAGTAATGATGACATCACTGCTTGGCGGCAGAAATAGGTAAGGTGGCAGTACTATCCTGGGCAAACTCTTTCACAAGATAGTCTACTGCTATTTGAACTGACTCCCTGATGTATGAATTTCTTTTTAAAGAAATTGTAACTTAAAAGATTTTAATTAGCCATTGAACATTAAATATTTTGCTATACATTGTAACCATTATTGGTAGGTCAATGATTGTCGGTTATATTATTGACAATCATGTTATCTTGACATTGAGTTTCAAATTGTATTATCGTGACATTGATAATATGAAATAAACGCTTCTATTGTATTCTACTAATTTATGTTAAATTAAACAAGACACGATTACAAAATTATTCCTGTTTTGGCTACCACCATGCAATGTATGTTAACGATATCCGAAATTTAACTAGAAACTAAAATTCTCAAGTGTGTTACAGGTTACCTGAAAAGCCTTGGCGCAGACTTGGTGCTCGATATGACGGTGGCCGAGGACCTGTCTTTGTTGGAGGTTCAACAGGAGTTTGTACAGCGCTACCAAGAGCAACAGAACAATCCTGCAGCTAAGCATTTGCCAATGCTTGCTAGTTCTTGTCCAGGTAATTGGGTATGACAAGTCATTGATATTTACTTGGAACCGAACTAGGGAACGCCCTTTTGTTTTATACAAAAAAGGTGCGAATTTGACCCCCATCTCACCCGATGAAAATGTGACGATGATGTCGAACATGTAACATGCACACCTAAATAAAGCCTATTCACTCTTGCCTTGAAAAGGTCCAAGTTATAGCGTTCGGTGCTTCGGTCGTGTGCCGGCCGTGATACGCTCAAATATCTATGTCATGCTTTTGTATTAACTAATTCATGTTAGACCGGGCACCGAACCCCCACCGGAACACGGACTCGGCCCGGTCTCACATGAATTAGTTCATACAAAAGTATAACATAGATGTCTGGCCGTGTCACGACCGGAGCACAGCCCAGCCCCGGCACGGTCAAACATGAATCAGCCTTTAATCCGCCCCATTGGGCTGAAGAGTCCAAGGGGGACGGTAGCGATGGGGGGCGTTGATGCTGTTCCGAATTATCTATATAAACTACACTACATGTATAGAATTTCTGTAATTCTTGTGATTTTTGTGTTCAGTTAAAATAAATAATACGTGTTTTGAATTATTTCTTGTAGTGGGCGTTGACATTTTTTATCAAGTTTAAGTGGGCGGTGAGCCAAAAAATTTGGAAACCTATGATCTGGATAATCAATGTTCCTTGTTAACTTGTCGAATTTGTGTTTTATTTTTGTCTTTGGTGTCGACAAATGTCTATAATAAACATTGACTTACAAATAAATGGGCGACGGGTCTAATACAAAAACCACGAAAAAAATGTCCCAAGTCAACCTATTTAAACGTAGTGACATGTAAAGGAATATGAAAAATCTAAAACGTTGAATTTAAATTGTAATGTCATCACAGTACTGTCTAATTTTGCTTGCGTCGCTGTCAGTCGAACAAACGAAGACTAAAGCGTGAATGACGCTCTGTATACGATTTTAACGCCCTATAAGTTCGGACACTTTTTAGCGCGGACCCGACGTCCATATAATTGTAAGTCAATGATAATAAACAATATTATTTTTTATTAGGTTGGGTGTGCTACGCAGAAAAAACACACGGCTCCTTCATACTACCTTATATTTCGACTACAAAGTCGCCTCAACAAATAATGGGTTCATTGGTCAAGCAGCATCTCTCGAAGCTAAAAGAGGTGACGCCAGCCGAAATATACCACGTCACGTTTATGCCGTGTTACGACAAGAAGCTAGAAGCGTCCAGGGAAGATTTCTATAGCGACATTTTAAATTGTCATGACGTCGATTGTGTTATTACTGCCAGTAAGTATATATTTTACAAGGCCGTTAACATTTGGGTTGTGATATGGAACTTATTCATGATGGGCAATTTTAAAGTCTTATCAACAACAAGTTTAGTTTTTTTTTTAAATAACTCGAGCTAAAGGAACAAACATCCATAACGCGAGCTGTGACAAGTTCAGCTATTTTAAAGAACTAAATTGCATTGACAACACGAACATTGACAAATTCAGCTATTTTAAAACATTATCTTACATTGACAATACGAGTATTAACAAGTTCAGCGATTTTAAAATACGAACTTACATTGGCAACACGAGCATTGACAAATTACTTAGTTAAATTTATTAGTTTTGAATGGGACATCTGAATAACATAAATATAACATTAAAAAGAATACAAGTTTAAAAGGAATAAAACTATAAAATCTATCAAAAAGTATGTGCTCGCGCAAGAGTGCGATTCGTAATATATAACAATAAATGACATATTTGTAGTCGATATAACGCTCAACAGATATAATTAATTTATGGTATACAGACATTTGACATATGACTTGCATGATATAAAGGTCACTGGGTATAATAGATGATTGATATAACAACTTTCAATCAAATATAGCGATGGCATAATGTTCATTTTATATAAACACTTCAGATTTCACTTTTTCATTCACTGAGTATGATGTTGAATGTGTATGTGTATAAAAAATATTAATATAATTCCAGTGGTGTTTAGGTGCAACGGTGAATGAACCGAATGCAAACACATTTCCTAGTTGGATCGACCTCCTCGTATGGGTTTAGGTTAAGTTAGTATATGACAAAGCTGCCAGAATCGAATTTGTTTGCATTTGCTAGTTGGTTCGACCTCCTCCTCTGGGTTTAGGTTAGGTTAGTATATGACAAATCTGCCAGAATCGAATTTGTTTGCATTTACTAGTTGGTTCGACCTCCACATGTGAGTTTACCTTAGATTAGTATATGCAATTGAATATTCTGCTTAAAGTTTTAATAAATATATTGTATAACACTAAAAGCACATAAAGCTATACAAAAACAATAATGGAATAAAAAAAATCTTGTAGGGCGCTTCAATAATATAATATAATATTGTGTTATATTATTTAATACATTATACTGGTAGTACTTATACCATTTGTTCATTATATCACTTAATGACAATTATAATTATTAAAATAAAATAAAATAAAAAATAAAATAATTATATCTAATGTTTGTTATACTGAAGGTTCATTATACACATTGAAATTATGCGTTTTGTTGTTATAGATTTGGTTGATTATATACAGTGAGTGATTATATCTTTAGAAATTATATCAAATGTTATTGTACCAAGTAAAAAAAGATTATTTGTTGTTATATCTTCCATTACACACCCGCTCGCGCACACACTTACACAGCAAACACGAACATTGACAAGTTCAGCTGTCTTTAAAAACTTACTTACATTGACTACAATGGCATTGGCACGTTTAGCTATTTTGAAAAACTCACTGACTCTGATAACACACGCATTTACAAATTCAGCTAATTTGAAGGACTAGCTTACCTTAATAACATGAGTGTTGAAAATTTCAGCTACTACAAAGAACTTGCTAACATTGACAAAGTATGAGATTAGTCTTTTCATTTAAACATTGTAAAGAAAACCATATAACAATTAGTAATGCAACAGACCTCTGCATCTGCTTCCGCAACTGCGGAAGTTCCGTAAACTTTTTACATCTGTTTCCGTTTTTGCTTCTGTAACTTTTATGACGGAAGTTCTTTCGGAAGTTTATAAGCTTCGAAATGGATCACGCGCGTGCGCATATTGCTGGGCGGTGGGGCGCGTGGGTTTTATCAGTTTTGTGTTGTTTTAAGTGCATTTTTTTATCTAAGTGCTGGCAAAAAATCCAATTATGAAACCAAAAAACAAACTCTGTTTGAATCTATTTCGTTGAGATTTTTATAGTATTTACACTTCCGCTTCAACTTCCGTTTCTGTTTCTGCTAAGATTTACTCCTGAGATCTGGTTGCGTTTCTGTTTCCGTTATGACACTTCCGTTGCATCACTCATAACAATGTACCTCTTCAACAGTTGAACTAGAACAAATGCTAGAAACCAACGGAATACCACTCAGCGACATGCCAAATATAGACCTGGACTGGCCTTGGAGCAGCGAAGGATCGCCGATGGTCAGAAGACACACAGGCTCAGGATCAGGGGGATACGCTGACCTCGTGTTTCTGTACGCGGCTGAACAGCTATTTGGACAAAGTGATGTGCCACTTGTTTATAAGAATCTCAGGTAACTAACTGTTATTTTTTTTTTTATAGAAATTAGTGCGCATTTGTTCTCCATGTCAATCGATACTACCTTAGCTTGAATTCAAATTTTTCCCGTACTGAATCGGTTCTATTGCGCGGGTCGAGAGGCAGAGACACTGGTTTTATTTCAAAATTTATTTTTTTACAAACGAAATTGAAGCTATTTGAGAAATGTATATCGGATTCTATACGTGTCCTATTTAGTTCAGTTTGAAAGGGTTGTAACCCTAACTAGCCGTGAACAGGTTCACGGCAATGAAATGGGAAACTTCCGGTCCACAAAATTTATTAAAGAAGTAAAGTTTAAAGAAAGGCTGTAACAATATAAAGGTAAATATAAAAAAACAGGTATAACAGTATAAAACACTCCCTACACTTTATTATTAAGGCACTTACCCCTAAATGGGCCGAGAAACTGAATTACAGAAATAGATACATAAATGCTGTAGACTTATAAATTACCACACATGATTAGCTTATTAACAGCTCCGACTGCTGTGGCGGTCGAGCTGGGAGTGACCGTGGTACAAAAACAAAATGAGAAAGTGAAGGAAGATGGCACAATTCAAATTTAAAATTTAAATACATGTAAACATTGACTTACAATTATATGGACGACGGGTCTAATACAAAAACCACGAAAAAAATGTCCCAAGTCAACCTATTTAAACGTAGTGATATGTAAAGGAATATGAAAAAGCTAAAACGTTGAATTTAAATTGTAATGTCATCGCAGTACTGTCTAATTTTGCTTGCTTCGCTGTCAGTCGAACAAACGAAGACTAAAGCGTGAATGACGCTCTGTATACGATTTTAACGCCCTATAAGCTCGGACACTTTTTAGCGCGGACCCGACGTCCATATAATTGTAAGTCAATGCATGTAAAATAAAAAATGATAGGATACAAGCGGAGAGAGGCGATACAAAGAGGTGAAATGACGGTGTAAGGAGATCACACCGTCACAAGTTGATATAAAAAATTATTGGTATGTGTAAAGACTTGTTGAATACAGCGGTTTTCTTGTGAAAATTTCGAGGCGAGTTTGTGTTTTTTTTCCATCGTGATAATTTTTAGGAATTGTGTTTTCACACCGTATAGTAATCAATTTTACTATATATTTTTTCCAAAGTTATTGATTCAACACTTTCGCTGTTATGCGTAACCAACCAAAGCCATTTGAGGTCGTATAGACTCTTATTTAGTTAATGAGTCTCACGGTGGTTTTCTATTTAAAATTAACATAATGTAATTGCATCGAGTATATAACCAGAAATAGAGACGAAATAACGGCCATACATTCCTGGTATCTCATCAGTTATAAATATCAAATCTCGGAAAATATAAAATATCAAAAGATATTATCTCTAACAATGGCGTTCTGTTTCATTCGGTGGTGTGGGGAAAAACAGCAAAACATCTAATTATAAAATAAACGGAATCAATTTTCATCGGTAATTAAATATGAAATATGTAATTTTGCAATTTTCGTCGATTATAGCAAAGCTCAAGTTAAACTGGTCGATTTCAAGTGAAACAATTGACGACACCCGTCAATTGTTTCGAACTCGGGCTGGCCAATCGGAGCGCAGTTGTCACAGTAATTATATGGCAGAATAGTTTTCAAACAAATTAAATGACATTTCGTCTCTATTTCTGGTTATATGCTCGATGTGTAATTGATATGTATTCAGTGAAGTAAATAAAGCATATTTTCCTGTCTGAACAAACAAATTCACGATTAATTGACATAAGTTTGTATTTGGTCAAGGACTCACGCCATTTCCGTAGTATAAGTTACAACTCACTTTGTAAACATAAAAGCGAAAACACCTTCCAGTACCTGTACGGTCTGTCTGTACAATAAGTTTTGGGGAAGTCGTCTTCTCAGATCAACTTCTATACAACCCATGTTTTCACTATAAATGAATTATGATTGTCAATAATTGTGGCAGTAGAACTCATTGTCAAAGAGTGCGTTACCTATTTCTGCCGCCAAGCAATAATGTGAGCCTTCAGGTTTTGAAAGGTAAGTAAAGGTAAGTAAGGATGCTAGTGAAATTATAGGCACATGAGACTTCAAATGTCTCAGGGCGCAGTGGCAATGCCCCTCAGATCTTTGCGATTTAAAGCTCTATATAGCACTGCGTCAGTTATGGACAGGCGTTTAGCTTACCATCAGACACACGACTTCACCGTCTTTTGTCTAAAAGAAAGTCGATAATTATGAATTTCTGTCAATCTAGTTTGACTTTTGTGGCCAATCAGTCTGCTGATCACATGATATGAAGGCTGGACGCGACAGTACCATTAAAATGATATATATTTTTTTATGATACCGACATGCATATCCATAACATATTTTTAAATCTATTCATATGCTAATACACTGTCCTATTAAGAATGAGCCCATTTAGAGTCTATTATTAAAATGTACGCGGTCTTAGAACTAAATCCACGACATTCCTTGGAAATATTTCTTTATGTTCGTATGACATAATTTGTCACACGGAGACCTGGCTAAACGATAGCTTTCATAATAGTGAATTGTTGAATTGTTTGACGATCGTTTTATAGTCTTGAGGACATGATCGGAATTATGAATCGACTGGCCGGAATATGGGGGACGGGGCTCTGATTGCTGTGCGCTGATTGTCTTCAAGCGCTGAGGATCTATGGGTCACCTTATCTTTGAAAAACCGTAATTCTAGATCTACTTACAAAATGCATACTGGTGTAGTTTACATTTGTGATCAGAATCTCGGGTAACTCGATGTCGGTTCAGCTATCTAATTTTACATTTAATGTGACTAAAATTGAATCACGCAACCCTTTAAACAGAATAATCATATTTGGCGATTTTAATATGCCTTTCGTCTCGTGGACTGTAGATAGTATGATGGAATATATCTTATCCCTTCCAACCTTCAAGGCCGTCACCAGTTACAATTAATAGATAATTTTAATACATGTTCTCTCTCACAATATAACTCTCTTGTGAACAACGGTTATGGTCGGATTTTGGATTTATTTTTTCTAATAATGTTGTTTATGTTAACACATGTGATCGTCCGCTTGTCCCAGAAGATTCTCATCGCCGTTCTGTAGTAGCTACTGTAGAATTTGTTCAATTACATACAATTAAACCGCGCCCTTATACTGGTGATTTTAATTCTATATATACCTGTATGCTGTCGATTGGCGCTCTGCGCTTAATAGTCGAAGTATCGAAGAAGCGGTCTTGTTCTTTTATGACACTATTTATAGCTTGCGTGACAAATATATTAACAGTATTGTAGTTTCGCCTTCCCGTAAGTATCCGTTATGGTACAAGCGACCCTTAATTAAATTATTAAGAAAAAAGACGAAATTTCACAAAAAATATAGAACTTATGGCAATGCTTACGACCGTGATTGATTCGTCTCATTGCGTAAGAGGGCGCATGAGATGGAGGAAACTATCTACAATACCTATATTTCAAATATTGAAAAGTACATAAAAGAAAATCCCCGTGCATTTTGGTCATTTATAAAAAGTAAAAACCAGTCGAAATCGTACCCGTCTATGCTTGAACATGATAACCGCTCGTCTGATGAAGGTCACGAAATTTGTAACTTGTTTGGGGAATATTTTCATTCCACTTTTTTAAATCACCACTTTCCTAACACACTAATAGATTCCACTTCAATTGCTTATCCCGACTCATCTGCTGATATATCTACTGTTGAAGTAATTGAAACAAATGTTTTAAGATTATTGAAATCTTTAGATTTAACGAAATCTACAGGCCCAGACAACATTCCCGCAATATTAATAGTTAACTGTGCAACGAGTCTAGTTCTTCCTCTGTCTATGCTGTACCGCCGCTCTCTTTCTGAAGGCATCGTCCCAAGCATCTGGAAATCTGCCTTCATCACTCCCATTCACATAAAGGGCCCTAAAAATAAGGTAGAAAATTATAGGTCAATATCGAAGTTGTGCCAGTTTGCGAAGGTCTTCACGGTTTTCTGAGAGGTAGGAAAGTAGTCCCGAATCTCTTACTTTGTGTTGAATCTCTTTCTACGTATATGTCTGAACCGTCAAAAGTTGATTTATATATACGGATTATTCCAAGTGTTTTGATCGAGTCGATCAAATTAAATTGTTAGAAAAGCTACAAAAATTGGGTATAAAAAGAAACTTGTTTAGATGGTTTTCTTCTTAAGTCCGAAATCGATGTCATATAGTACTTTTAGGTTGTTACTCATCTTTGCCTATGGACATCCCCTCCGGTGTGCCCCAAGGCTCATTACTAGGACCCCTACTTTTCATAATTTTTGTAAATGATATCGCTTCCTATTTTCTGAACTCTAAAATACTTTTATATGCCGACGACATGAAAATTTCACATAAACTTAAGGCTATACATGACGCCCACGTTCTTCAGGATGATCATATCAGATTTCAAAGTTACTGTACTGTAAACAAATTGGACCTTAATGTTCCAAAATGCTACGTGGGTACCTATACTCGAAAACCCACAAAAATATTATATAAATACACGTTTTATAATGCTTCGCTAACTAGAGTAGACTCGATTAAAGATTTTGGGGTAACTTTTGATAGTAAATTGTTGTTTGATCGGCATATTGATAATATTGTCAAAAAAGCATCTCGTTCGTTAGGTTTTGTGTTAAGAATGTCGTCGGAGTTTAAAAGTAATTAAAACTTTTAAAATACTTTTTTGTTCTTACGTACGTAGCCATCTTGAATACGCCTCCCAGATGTGGAATCCTCATTATGATATATATTTCGCACGAACAGAAGGTATCCAAAAGAGATTTCTACGTTACTTGCAGTATCGAGCCGGTATATTTCTGCCAGACTATGAGACTAAGTGTCGTAAATTTCTCTTTCTGCCATTATACAAACGGAGAAAAACGGCTGATTTGACTTACCTAACTAACATAGCAAACGGCACTGTCGGTTGCCCTGAACTCCTTGAGCAAATAGGACTACGCACAGACAGGGTTGCACTGAGAAATCCTATCACACTTTACGTTCCTAGGGTTAGGACAAATTATAGACAAAATGTATTTTTAAATAGAGCGTCTCGCTCATTTAACTGCTTAGTTAATAGATAAGGTGAGGTGGACTTGTTCGACACCACTACAAGTAAACTAAAACGCTTACTCAGTGATATGTTTTTTTTTTCAAATATATAGATACTATAACCGTTTAACGTTTTTATTTTCGAAATTTTTACTTATTATGTTTTTTTTCCTTAAGTTGGCAACTTACTTTGTAGTTTGTTACTACCACTGTAAATATTTATCTGTGGAAACTTTTAATTAGCCCTCAGCATACATATACTGGCCTGTCAGGCGTGTATTATTTATTATATTCTTGTTACCTAGCTGTAAGTTTTCTAAAAATATTGAAAATAAATTAGAATAATATAAAAATAAAATAACAGTTGCAGTGCCACTTGAGCTTTAAATCGCAAAGATCTGAGGAGCACTGCCACTATGCCCGACACCCTGAGACATAAGGTGACAAGTCCCATATGCCCGTAATTACACCAGCTCCCTTACCCTTCGAAACCGGGTCGCAGTATGCTCACACTACTGCTTGACGGCAGAAATAGGTAAGGCAGTACTTCCCTGGACGAACTCTTTCACAAGATACTCTACAGCTACTAAACCATGACCTAATTGCCTATTTGATCAAAGTACCCGTGTATAAGTTCCCTTAATAGGTATTGGAATAGTAGGTAGGTATTTAGAATTCTGGACTGTTCTCTGCGGAATAAAGGATTTATTTATAAGTAAACCTAATTAGACCTATTGCTAAACAATGCTGAGGGCGCCACACAGCGACGCGGCGCCCGCGCCGCCCGGCGCTTGACCCTGCACCTCTGTCGCAATATAAAACATACGATGTTTATAAATACGTTTTAAGTTTTAATTAATTCTATTTGCCACAACTATATTGTTTACTTTTTGCTGTCTTTTAGACCGTTTTTGGCTACTTTGGCGACCTCAGAGTTCCCGGTATAAATTCTGTTGGTCTGCGAGTCATAGCACGGGGAATTCCCTTTTAAAATTGTTTAAGACCTATTTCATATCATCTCAGTTGTGCGTGAATATAGAGTGCCAATGGCAGGATTTTGTACGTTCGGTATTCTGATAAAAGTTAAGGGTAGTGGCTTGTCTGTGGTTAGCCATCGAGCTGCTATTCAACTGCCATTATATTTTTTGGTATTCTGCACTTTATTGGGGAGTCTACTAAAATTATTTGACAGCAAAAATATGTTAAAAAGTCGCGAAAAACCAAAAACAAAGATAAGACACAAGTCACAAGGAGGTCTACTGCTACTTAGGAGTTAAGTTTTATGAAAATTTCTCTAGGAAACGTGGATTAACCAAGCATTGGACCAGCCCCATATCTTTCTTCATTACTTTTGATTATAGTGACCCTCCCTACCTACCCTTAGGGCGTACGAGAAGGGCACTATGACTGGTGCGAGCGAACCCGCACAGGGACCATCTAAGTCAGGTCCTAACCCCGGGACAGCACGTTTACACAGACTTCAACCGGTTCTCTGTAATGCTAGTGCCTTAGGTGAGCCGCCCCGGGTGCACGTACAGCACCCTCCCTATTTTCCAGATAGGTAGGTAGGATAGGACGAACGCCCCGGCCACACACCACCGGGGCAGACGAACGTATCCGTCCCTACAGCTAACCACAAACCCCGGCGAGTCCATACCCAAGTCCGGGTGCGCCAAAGACGCCTGTGAACTCGCATGACAGGCGGAGGGCTTGGCCCGGACGCCCACCGTACCCTGGTCTTGCCATCGAGCCCGTAGTCTCTCCGGAAAAACCTGTTTCTCTGGTCGGTAGATAGGGTACAAGCTTTGGACCAAGCACCATATCTTTCTACGTTAGTTTTGATTATAGTGACCCTCCCTACCTACCCTCAGGGCATACGAGAAGGACATTATAACCTATGCGCGCACAGGAACCTTACAAGTTCAGGTTCTGGCCCCAGATCAGCCAGTGCACAGGGCTGTCACCGACCTCTGTCACTTGACTTCATCCGGTTCTTCGAGAGGCTAGAGAGCTGTAAGACACGCTCACTTCCCGACGACGAAAAACGACGTCTCTCCAGTTCCCAATAACCTAAGCGGCTGGAGGGACCGGAGAATATCTAGTTTATCCTCTACTAGCTCTCCGAGCTAGTGCCGGAGATGCCAGTCGCAGTGTCCTGCGACAATGCCCGGACATAGCTTCCAACTTAAAGGGCAACTCACGTGTCCCGCGCGTCTCCTCGCATACAGGCCCTCAACAAGACCGCTACTAAGACGCGCTAACTGCTCACGAGACAGACGTCCACAAGAAAAAACCGGAGCAGACAAACATATCCGTCTCTGCCACAAACCACAAACCCCAGCGAGTCCTTACCCAAGTCCGGGTCCGCCAGAGACGCCCGCAAAGGCGTATCACTGGCGGAAGGCTTGGCCCGGACGTCCGCCGTACCCTGGTCTTGCCGTCGAGCCCGTAGTATCTCCGGAAAACCCTATCTCTCGGGTCAGTAGATAGGGACAGCATTGGACCAGTATGGGTTATGGCCTAAGCTTTTATAGGTGATCAGTTATCAGCCTATCGCAGTCCGCTGCTGGAATAGGACTCCCTCAATGTGCGCAATTTCGGCCAGTCCACTCTTGTCGCATTCATCTGTTGCCAGCAACCATTCGCAGATCTTAATTTGCATATGTATTTCTCTTCTTAGGAATCCAGATTTCAGAGAGGTAACACTAGTGAAAGACGGCAAAGAAGTATTAAAGTTTGCAATAGCGAACGGGTTCAGGAACATTCAGAATCTGGTGCAGAAATTAAAGAGAGGAAAGTCGCTCTACCACTATGTTGAGGTCATGGCTTGCCCATCAGGTTGGTAATTACTTTACTTGATGTTTTACGAAAGCAATTTATATAATTATGCAATAAACAATAACTTTTCTTAGCCTAGATTGTGAGTGTGAGTTACTTAAAGCGAGCAAGGTACTCGTGAGGTGTTGACAAGTTAGCACTAACTTGGCAACATAAGGTTCTCAGAATAAGTGCGTCTAAAGAATTTTTGAGCCTCTTTAACACTGTGGGCGCTAGCGGGTTCGATTACCGATAGGACCAATTTAAAAATGAACTTTTCTAAATTGGTTTCGGTCTATGTGTTCTTGGTTTTACAATGGAGTGAATTCCTTTGCTCTCGTTCTCATTTCCTAATTCAAGATCAGTTAATTGATGTAGTTATCTATATGTTATAACTGCCTCCGTGGCCAACCGGTTACCATGCCGGACTGGCACGCAGAGGTCCCAGGTTCGATTCCCGGGTCGGGAGAAATATTTGTATGACCTACATTTGTTTCTCACGTGAGTTTGGGTGTAATTTGTGGTTGTCTACGTGTGTGTCCATGGCACCTGCGACACAGGGTATCCCTAGTGCGGGGCTATGTTGAGTGTGTACGTTATTACGTTATTATTATTATTTTTACTAACAGGTTGCCTAAACGGGGGAGCTCAAATACGACCAGTGTCAGGTGAAAGCAGTCGTGAATTAGTCCAACAGCTTGAACAGCTGTACGCAGAGCTGCCCCAAGCGATACCCACAGAGAACAAACTAGCTAACAAGCTTTACGCTGATTGGCTGGATGGAAAAGACTCGGACAAAGCTCACGCTGTTTTACACACGGGTTACCACGCAGTTGAAAAGACAGATATCGCTCTTAATATTAAGTGGTAATAGAAAAACACATCGAGTGTTTTATGTGTGCACAAGACAAAGTGATAATCCAGTGTTAAGTAATGTTTACGAATAATTTTTGAAAGTGAAATTGCTCCACTAGTTTGTTATAATTATTGATACAAAGATCGAACACTTAAGAAAAATTCCTTCGATAGCTGTATTCGGACCAGCGCTTTCAAGCATGCCGTGCCAGACGCTCTGCTAACCGAGCTACCAAACGAACCACCAGACCTTACGAATTTTTCTGTGCTTATTGCAGATCTTTGTTTATGGTTTTTCAACGCCTATTTTGCATTCTGTAATCCATAATACCGCTGGTAGCTGTAAAGGTAAATACAAAGACAAGACAATAAGCACATAGAACAATTCTTGAGACCCGCTGGTTGGTTCCGTGGTTTAGTTGGTATAGCGTCTGCCACGGTATGCTAGAATACGTCGGTTCGAATCCGGCCGGATCGAAATATTTTTTCTGAGTGTTCCTCCTAAAGTACCTAAAGGCACGGTATGCTAGATCAGGGTTTACAACCAATGCGTCCTACCGGTCATGACTTACGGAGCCGAGACGTGGAATATGACTGTAAAACTGGCTCACGGACTACACGTCGCTCAGCGAGCTATGGAAAGGTCCATGTTGGGTATCTCGTTAAAGGACAAAATCCGAAGTTATAAGACTAAAGTTGTGGACATCGTCCAGAAATGTAGCAAGCTCAAGTGGCAGTGTGCTGGCCACATCTGTCGCAGAACCGATGACCAATGGAGTAGACGGGTTCTCGAGTGGAGACCATGTCTCGGCAAACGTAACGTCTAAAGAAAGTCGCGGGTAGTGGTTGAATGCGGAAATCGGGTGATCGGGCACTATGGCGTACACTTGGGGAGGCTTATGTCCAGCAGTGGACTGCAATAGGCTGATTGATTGATGCTAGAAGACGTCGGTTCGAATCCGGCCGGATCGAAGGAATTTTTTCTGAGTGTTCGATCGTTGTATTAATAGTTATAACAAATTAGTGGAGTAATTTCACATAAAAAAATAATTTAATAAAAATTTAAACCTTTAGTTTGATTAGGGATTGAAGTTTTTCTTTATTATTTATGTACCCCTGAAAAAGCATACTTATGTACAGGTTTAAGCTTTTCAAGAAGTACCGGAAATATCGGGAGTACCGATACTGAACTACGCCCAGCACTGGAAGTCAATATTTTAGAAACCGGATCGGTCATGCAAGCCCTAATCGTGATATCAGCCAGATCAATTTCAAGTATCAAAAAAAAAAACAAAATCTGGAACTCGAAGTGAGAACGCTGAAAGTAAAGATTTAACTGCCTCTGTGGCCGAACGATTACCATGCCGTACTGCTACGCAAAGGTCCTAGGTTCGATTCCCGGGCCGGGAGAAATATTTGTATGGCCTACATTTATTTCCCTCGTGACTTTCGGTGTCCATGTTCATGGCACTCGCGACACAGGGTTTCCCTAGTGCGGGGCTATGTTGAGTGTGTGCGTGAAAAAAAAATGGTTAAAAATAAAATATAAAGCCGTTTATTTCTACACAAAACATAGAAATCGCAATAATTAAAAATAAAAAGTACGGTTGAGTGATGTGGAGTTGTGGACAAAGAAGTTAGACTCAGCATTGCTGATTTTCAGTCTTCACCTGTAGCTAGCTGTTCGCTTGCTGCACCAGGCTGATATGCGGAGTGTACACCAATGATATATCTACCCTAAGTAATAAGTTAAAGTTTAAAGGCTGTCCGTATAAAGTTCCTTGTTTTATTTTTATTTATTTAACCTAAAATTTAAAATTTTGTGCTGCTAGTGGTTTAATTCGGAACCAGTTGTTGCTCGATTTCTGTGCAGATAGGAGCCATTGCTTACACAGTTTTTAAAAGTAAAAAGCGTTGGCGTTTACTCCATCAACAAGAGCTTAGCTCTTAAATAAGAACAAATAATCAAAGTTATAGGTACATACAAGGGATGATAAGAATATCAGCATAAATTAAAATATCCGCATCAGCATCAGCATTCATCGATGCGGATGTTCGAGTCGTGTCATGACCTAAGAGGCACGCTGGAATAATTTACAAACCTTCCAGAAACAGACTGTAAGTCGAAAAACAGCTCAGCTGTTGTTTTTAACATAAAACTTTGATAAAATTCCACAACAATTACGCTAGGCAGATTGATTGTCTTCATGATTATTTTATTAATAAACAAAATAATTAATAAATGTCATAAAATCATTGAAATTATATTTTATTACAATACCAAAGAAAATAGAAAGCTTTGTCATGTAGGTAGATTCAGTAAGGATGTACATTTTTCGCGTTTTTTTTAAACACCTAAAATCTAAAATCATCACCCTACTCATGCGAGTATCCGCTGACGATAAGGTCAAAAAATCAGCATCTGCTGATGTATAAAAGACCTGCATCAGCAAGAACCCTGGTACATGCTGCCACAGAGATTCAAATCGTCGCCTTCTTGAGAAGCAACTGCTCTAACGCTGGACTACCACCGCTGTGACTTATTTACCTACTTACTATTAACTTTTAATCTAAAGAAAATGTTCTTTAGATAGCAAGTTAATGTCAACTAAATAGAACATTATATACGTTGGTAAATTCTAAACGTTTTTTATGTTTCTAACCTTTGGTGGAGATATATTAATTAAACTTTGTAAACACAACAAACCAGTGCGATAGTTATCTCTTGCGTATGACGAGTCTGTGTTTAGTCTAAGATTTAGACTAAGTTTTATATGCTATTACAAAATGACAACAAAAATATTTATATATACATAATATTCTATCGACAGAGACAGTGAAGTTCTTATCGATGTAGCCTTGTACATTTGTCCACTATACATACGTACCTTAATATGTATACAATTCGAAATGTGTATACATATTGTATACATATTGTAATTACAGTCGAATAGTCTACGGAAACAGTTTTGTAATTCTTATGTTTTGCACATTTAAACTTTGACCAGTACTATATTTATAAATGCTTTGGTGTTCAATGTAATTAGGTACATTGAATGTGTCGAGACATAAGAAAAGTTTTCGCGACTATTACACATAAAAAATGAAACTATTTTTTCTAGGACAAGCAACCTGAAATGACTGTGAGCTGGCCATGTGTTGAAGAATCGATAATCTATAGGAGAAATGTGTTTCTGAATGGAGACCACGCCTCGGCTGCAGGAAATTTCTCTAGCCAGATAGATCTGCGAATGACTGACTTGTGTGACATGTTGAAGACGAACAGAAACCCTTAGCCTAGGCCACCTAAAAGAGCCATAACCACACTGGCCCAATGCTTGGTTAAGGAACGTTTCTTCGAAAAGTTTTCTTAAAAGCTTAACTTCCAAATAGCAGTAGAGCTCCTTGTGAAAGAGTTCGTAAGGGAAGTACTGCCATTTTACTTATTTCTACCGCCAAGTAGAAATGTGAGCATTACTGCGTTCCGGTTTTGCAGGGTAAGGGAGCTGGTGTGAAATTACAGGGCACATGGGACTTGTCAACTTATGTCGCAGGGTGACGGGCGCAGCGGCTATGCCCTTAAAATCCTTGCGATTTAAAGCTCTGAGTGGCACTGCAACTGTTATGGACAGGCGTGTCGCTTAGCGCCAGATTTTTTCGTTTCGTCATTTGGTATTATTACAAAAAAAAAAATTTTGTATCAATAAAACTTTCTGTCGTTTAAAATGTATAGGTGTCTATATAACCGATATTAAAGCAAGTGAAAACAGTAACAATTGACTGGGTTTATATGCAATTACAAAGTAATATGCAACAAAAAAGCGGGTAGTCATGCACAGTCACTGGGTAGCGGCGGTGGCGATGACGGTGGCGGCGGCGGCGACGGCGGCGAGCGGACGGGAGTGTGCCGTAGGTATATTGACGCGTCAAACGCGTGTTTAAAGGTCGGCCATGCTTTTAGGACGAGAACACAACTATAATTCATAAAAAAAACGAAAAATTTATCTCCAAACTTCGGGAAAAAGTCAGAAACACGCATTAAAAATGGGGAAAAGATTTTTAATTTTTAACCGACTTCGAAAAAGGGGGAGGTTCTTAATTCGACTGCATTTTTTATTGTTTTGTGTGATGTAACGCGAGTACTTGGCATTTGTGAACCGACACTATAGTAATAATAATAACGCACACACTCAACACAGCCCCGCACTAGGGAAACCCTGTGCCATGGACACACACATAGAGCACCACAAATTACACCCAAACTCACGAGAGGAATAAATGTAGGCCATACAAATATTTCTCCCGGCCCGGGAATCGAAACTGGGACCTCTGCGTGGCAGTCCGGCATGGTAAGCGTTCGACCACGGAGACAGTTAAAGGGCAGAAGGTAGGTACGAGTCATGGGCGAGCTCACAGAACGAGAGCTAATGAAAGAAACATATATTCGGCTATTACAAATACATATACAAAAAATTATATTAATATAAATTTAAATGAAATAATAAAATATTACTAAATACATAATAATAGCCAAAAAGGGTAGCCAGCTCAACATAATGGTGGGTAAAGCCATAACGCTGATTTTCAGCTGGAGCCTGCGTGCTAAATGCTTTTTCTAAATTCTAGTTTTGCGTAAAAGTGTTTAAACTAGTTGTTTGCGCTATTATAGTTGGCACGTGCGTTACCGAGACGGCTCACTCTTTTGTCCTATTGTACTCGAAAGATAAAGAGATACGACGAATCGGTGTAAATAATATTTCGTCAATTATACTTCCCTGGCCGAACTCTTTCACAAGGAGCTCTACTGCTACCATAGCTAATAGTATTTTATGCAATCATTGCATAATGAGGGTTCCTAAAGTTGAGTACCGTGTACACAAGTTTCCGTTACCGGAAAGTGCGCGATATCGGATTCATCCTCTAGTTTTCCACCCTTAGAGATGCAATATTTTCTTAAATTTTAAATAGAACCAATACTGAGGTACCCTCTTTCCAACAAAAAAAGAATCCTCAAAATCGGTTCAAAAATTGTAATACCGAAGTAATCGAGTAACATTAAAACAAAAAGACAGTCGAATTGAAAACTCCTTTCGAGTTCTTAGGTTTTCGCGATTGTTACACATGGGAAATGAAACTATTTTTCCGGATTTAAATCGCGTATATTTGTTTTTTCAAACATACCAACGTTCCGGGCCCTTTACAGGTCCCTTGGTCACGGCGGTCAACCGTGGTCAAATAGTTTCATTTCCTATTATTTCTTCCATTTTTGGAGTCGGTTAAAAATAGTAGCATGCAGTTCAAATTATGTCTATCACTTCTATCACATAGGGCTTTATTACCTATATTAACGTTAAATAAATTGCAATGGCAAATAATAAACGCTGTAAGGCCAAATTACATCACTCAGCACTGTCAGTACTTTAGCATAAAATGAAGAAATAATTTAGTGTGACAAACACATATTCTAACGTAACCATTACAGGTCAGCGTCTTAACCTTTATAGATTACAAATATCTTTTACCTACACAGTGGGAAATCACATATTTTAGGCTAGTTTTACAACTACTTTCACTATTAGGCACGTGATGTTTTCTATTGTTAATCTACAGTTATAAATTAATTGTTAATGTTCTTTGTAATCCATTACTGCTTAAAACTTTCGTCCATTTTCTTTTAGTTACATTCTTGTCACCGGTACGGAAGTTATGGTTATCGCCTTCCTCCAAAAACATCGGCCAATAACCTTTGTCTGTACTATGGTTGTGTT